TTCTAAGAGGCCACTACGATTCCCTCGCGCGCCAACCCCTACCCGCTAAGAAGTGTCGAAAATCTCCATTGTTTTGTATTGGCTTGACCTGACCGTGCCATTCTTCTTCCATGAGAAAGGAGAAATCTGTGAGCTTTGAAAGCCTTCTTGTTTTTAAGCCTGAATTTCCGACCGTATTTTGCATCAGTTGATCATCAGCTCTGGAATTTTGTAAGCTCATTTCCGCTGGGTTTAGATTGCCCCTTTGGCCTCACCTTGTTGGATAAGTGCTATGTAAAGCCTGAGTAAAAACGACTGTGGTGCCTGAATTTACAATAAAATATAAGAGCTGGAATAACGTCAAGATCCCCCTAAGCGACGGAACTTTCCTAGCGAAAAAAGGGGCGATTCAAGCTGTATGACGTCAAGCGTAAAGCGTAAGCCGTCTTTCAAAGCATGTCCAAAAAGTGATCCGCAAATAGTTCTAAGATTTGCATTACTGCATTTTGAGTAAAGTAGCTTCTGTCATCCCTAGTCGCAACCACACCAAATACGAGTAGCTATCTCCGCCCAGCTTACTCGCATTGGTGTGGTCTGCTGTCATCTTCACTTCCTCCATTTCGAGGCACTTTTTTGCTATGCTTTCCATTTCAGCAAGACCCTTTCTCGACGTCTATCTATTCCTTCATTTGACATTAATATTCCACGCCACAATTCGACTCTGAAAATGACCCTATCTGATGACAAAGTTGAAATTGCCAATTTTCACAAAAAGCTGGGTGATGGGGTGGAGACTTGAACACTTCCGGAATCAGAGGGGGCTGAGTGGTTTTGTCTGAGAGATAGCAGTAGAGCTTAGCGGAGAAGCTCCAATTGTTGTGGCGGCGTGCTTCCAATACTGGGGCATTGTTCCGGGTACTTTGCCGAGAGGGGAGGGGCATCTTAATTCTTTTTTGATAGTGAACTTGGCGCAGGTCTAGCACAGGCCCGCTACCTGTTAAGAGTCAGGAGATGACATCTGACATGTAATAACAGGTAAATCTCTGTTGTCAATGACGTCTCAAGACACGTCGCTTCAACGTGTTACGTGACGTCATCCGAGTCTTGAAAGGCAACGCAACTGATCGAGAACCTGAGCTCAGATCACCTCCTCAGAACTTAGGCGAAAATTATTTTGAAGGCAAGGTCCCGTGACTTTTGGGATTAAGTTTATGTTCATATGGTATAACCCACCCCTAGACATAGTGACGTAGCAGCTTCGAAATAGCACGGCAAATTTGGCACTGACCTAATTGTTGGGAGGACACTTGCTAGAGCTTTCGTATCCCTTCCTCTGATCGTGGCTTAGGTTAGGCTTAGCCGGAAGTCTCAGTAACTTCGCCGTCGCAGCGCTTCGGTCGCGCGTTCGACGCGATTTAATGCTGTGCCATTGCGAAGTCTGAACGCTGCCTTAGTGAAGTCATCTCCCTGCGAGACTGTCTTTCAAGAGACTGGACCTTTTCAGGAAAGAGATTGAGAAGCGCAGTCAAGTGCCTTCCCCCTCTTCCAATTACGTTTATTACGTTTTTTTAATCCGCAGATTTTTGTGGAACATGATAATTTTCTTCTGACCATAAGTGGAAAAAAAAAGAAATTTTTTCCCATGGCCCGCGCCAATGCGAAAAACAGATAACGCAAGGAATGAGAAGGAGCAGGTTGCAGTGACGCTAAGCTGCGCCGATTCTCTACGCCCTCTCAACGAGTAAGTGTCCAGTGAATTTGGAGGTGCAGAGCAGCAGAAGATGGGCGTGGCTCATTTATCCGCCGGCTATGGGAAACCGTAAAACCCAATCAAACCTAAAAAATGAATCCAATCAACAGCAAATAAAGCCCGATACGCATGGGTTTGCTGCCGAATTGAATTAGGCGGCCTCATATGATTGCTATTTATTTATGCACTCTGAGTAAATCGGGACCGAAGCTAGTGACAAGCTGTGGCGTTGCTTCCCACGAAGTTCCTGGAGACTTTGAGATTCAGAACAAGATTTTGGGATTTTTTTTGATTATTGAAAGCAAAACGAATAATAAACTCATCCTTCACTCAGTCCTGGACGCTGTCAAAGGCTGCTGCTTAGCCTTCTCTGGATTGGCTTACGGACAGTTTTGGTGCCATGTAATCAACCTCAATCTCCGCTACTTAAGACTCTGCCGTTTGATGTCTAGCCGGAAAGCTAAGGAGCACAGAGTCAGACAGATTGAGTTCCTTGCTCAGATACTGACCATTAATGGTTATTCCATCCAGGATTCTTTCGCGTTTAGCTCGATTTAATACTGCCTGTCTGTCTGTTTATGTAGCTGACGACCGCGATTTGTCTAGGCCATTTCCATTGAGTCGGGCTAATTCGGCACGCGGGCAAAGCGAAGTGCATCCGTCCGCCAGCTTCTCCTTTTTTCAAGCGCGGCGCCCGCCGACCTCCAGCTTCATTTAGCTGTCTGGCAGCTCCTGTATAATTGTTTCAATTGATCCCGCCCTTCCGCCTTTGTTTCCTTGGACGCACTGCGGTAGGTACCATCAGTAAAAAGGTTTTTTTACCATGTTTTATCATTTCTATTCACTCCTATGGCTCTAAATCCGTTTCCTTTGCCCTACCACAATTGGAGTTTCTTATTTTGTTTACGCTTTATTTTTTATTTATTTACGCTTTTATTTTGGCTGCGCGGCATGTTCTAACTAGCATCCGTTCCTTTGCCCTACCAATAGATTCTTATTTGTTTATCTTTATTTTTATTTTATTTACTTTTATTTGGCCGCGCGGCCATATTCTAAGCACTTCAGAGCCACGAAGTTGTTTGCGTTTTTGAACGCTGTTCCGCCTAGGACGGCTAAATCATGTCGTCGCCTGGTTTCCGGGTTTTTTTTTCATGGTTCCTCATCTCGATTTCGGGCGATGGCAACTGGGATGGGGAGGGGGGGGGGGCTTCATCACAGCACTGTAACTCTTCAACTTTTGTTCGAATGTCGCAGTTCGTGCCATGACTTAGTTCGACTTTTGAACCACTATCATTGGATACAAGCCGGCTACTGGGCATAATCACCTATTCAGTCTTGCTAGGAAAAAAGCTGGATCTTCTCCGGTTTCAATTTCACTAGGCTAATGAAGGACATTTTGAAAGGGAAATTTTTTCAAGAAAAAATGGCCTGCTTCTCTTTCCATTCTCTCACGCACTCTGATACATCCGTCTCCTCGGGCTGAGGGGCTCATTATGGGTTACTCTGCAGCACATTTTAGCTTCTCGCACCAGGACCGTGGAAGAAAGTTCGAATAGCCACGTAACCCAGCTGCTGCATTAGGCTGAAAGCGCTTGATCACAGCTTTTACAGCAGGAAAGCTTTCGGTTTTCCGTAAAGTCTGTGGTTTTTAATTTCTCCCCTTTTTCCTTTCTCGAACCTCCTCTAGACCTTTCTTCTCCCTTTCTTTGGCCCTATTTACGCAAGACAGCCGCTCTTCCAAGTTACGTCAAGCTCCCGATTTCACCAAAAATTTGTCCCTAGTCCCACAACAACAAAATACACCGTGACTCGCTTTATCCGCTACGACCGTGACATTTAGTCCGATAGTGCGGTGAGGGGGATCAGCATTTGGAAGGAACAGTCTGCTCTTATGGGCGACGTCAAATACTGCTAAGTTTTCTTCATTCATGTTGTTCTGAAATGCAACAAGGAGGAGCGCTGCAATGAGGAAGGCTCAGTCACTGACGAAATTCCCCGTTCTGTTAGCATGGGCGCCGCCTCTAGAGCCTCATATTGTAAGCCCAGACAGGGTACAGCATCGTGAAGTGGTGGTGTAGGTACGACCCCCTTCAGGAGAGGGTGTCAGTACGACCCTCCCCACCTAAATGGGGGTCTCGGTACGACCCCCCCCCCTTCCCCAACACCTACCTACCAATTTCCCACATTTTCCAGTTTTTCACCCAAAATTTTCCGTCGAGCGGGAGCCGTGGAAGAGGGTATATAGTACACATGAAGCAGCAGGAAAACTCACAAAAAGTGTACAACCGGGCGCATTTTTTTCAAGTTTCTCTCAATCTCAAGGCCAAATGCGATCCCCCTCTCCCAACAACGACCAAATACGCCCCCCCCAGCAGAAAAGTACGATCCCCCCTATGTTTTCACTCAACGATGCTGTGCCCTGAGCCCAGAGGGACGCCTATGTGTGTAGCCTTGCCTTCTACGAATACTGGGGCGTCTCAGGCGAGGCTGGGTTTGGCGCTGCTCCAGCATACTGTCCTCAATTGGTCGCCCACCACCTTTCGCAATTCGACTGCCAGCTTCCTCAGTTAGAGCAGAACAGAGGCACCTCTTCAAATCCATCCCCCAGCCTTACACCCCCCCCCCTTCATCCGCAGCGAACAGAAACGGATGGCGCCAAAAATCCAGTTGTTGTTGTAATTGAGGCACCGATAGTTTCCACATGTAATAATAGAATAATATTGGTGAGGGTGGCGCTACTTGCATAACGGTCTAAGTCCTTTGAGCGCTTTTTTTCTGTTTTTCTTTGGCCTATTAGCTCTTGAATGTTCTGCGCTGAAGAGTATGAAGAGCCAGCCAGTAGGAAGAGCGGATCAACTTGCTCGTCTGCACCCTCCGATAGAGCCGGATGGGTTCGGTTCACACCAGTGAGGGTGCAAACGTGCAATAAAATGAGTGCGTTTAATTGCTTCGCGTTTCTCCGTAGAACTATGATTGGACAACTTAGTGATTTCACAGACAGTGCCCTTTAACTTGTAATAAATGAGTGCAAGTCCCATTGTGTTCGCCTTTTATACGTCATGCCTGCTTTTTGAAAATGAGATTATAGCTGTACTTGTATGAATAGTTTGTTTTTGCAAGATAACAATGAATGAGCTGCTAATTCTGTGCTTTTTGTGAAGAAAAACGCTATCCAAGCTAGTAGCTTCAGAGAATAACAGCCAAAAAACCCTCTAAAAGAGATCGACTTCTGACGAATTTGGCTGCAAAAAGAAACCGGGCTAAAACTCACATGCTTCCTTTCAGACAACAGTTAGCCGAACAAGAAAATCGACCGAAACAGGATCTTCAAACAATCTACGAGCATCCAGTCAGGATCAAGGTGATTGTTGAAGTCATTCAACCCGGTTTATTCGCCATTTTTTCCTCTTTTTCCATTGTTGAGCTTTTTTGGATGAAGACCATGAGCATCGATTACTGCAGGGGCTTTGATGTACGCCCGTTTTCCTAGCTTTCCAACCAGAAAAATCTGATCACTAACTCATTCCTCTGAAGGCCTGAGCACCTGTTTTGATGTTTGTAATCCAATTTCTGGCCACGTTAGGAAGAATCTTGGCATCTGTACTCGCCTCCAGGGCAAACAAACCTTGGCCACATTTTGGCGCTCAAAGGCGCAGCTGACGCCCGGTTTTGGGAGATGATTGAATTGCCTTTCTTTCTAGAACAGCTTAACGCGTTGACGATATTATGAGCCACCGGTGGCTCATAAGCTTCTGCTTCTGCAAGACCTTTCGGCTATTGCCGTAGTTTCCCGCAATCTTTTTCTTAATTCCAATTGAATTGGGCAGGAGATGAACTTCCAACACACGGACTGAGTGGGAAAAATTGACGTCTCTTGAAATTTTTTAACTGAAATTTGGAGTTTTTCAACTAGCTCTTCCTATGCCAGAAGCCTCCAAAATGGATTTTTTCGGGTGAAATTCCGATTTTAAGGACACAAGGGGCTCCGAATAAGGAATGTCACATCATATTTGTCGTTGGTGCCATGTGGCGACAATAGGCGCCATTCTGGCGCTACCAGGCTCACCGAATTCGATATACCTCCATACCTGGGTTAATTTGACATCCTTATTACACAATAGATGATGCACTTTTTACTACGTCATATGGTGCCAAGAACGCCGAATTGCTGGCCGCGCAACTTAGCTTCTTTTGATTTGACAGTACTGAAGACAACATGAGCAAGATTTATCGAGTCCGCACATTGGGCACCGACTTTTGGATATAAGTCCTACAATCCTATATTTCGTATATACCATTTTAACTTGAAATTCACTCCTTTTCAAAATTCACCCAAATTCCCTCTGTTCAAAAATTTCACGCACCCTTTCAAACCAAATTCACAAGCGCTTTTTGTAAACCGAATTCCCTAGCCACGCTTGCCGTACGCGAATTCACCCACCTTCCGCACTGAATTCACCACACTTATTTGCCTGCGCTATTCATCAACCAAATCACGCCAGACACTACTGCGGGCTCCGCCCCTCGGCGTCATCACCGCACTTCTTTTTGCGGATTTTTGAAATTTTTTCAAATTTTGCATTTTCGGACTGCTACGTGAGGCCCCGCCCTCTGTGAGAGGCTTCGAGCACTTTGGAGAAGCCGCGCCCACTTTTCAAAAATGGTGCAGATCGGCAGTATAGAGTCTCGTAGCATGCTAGGTATTGCTGGTCGTTCGGAACAAACTTTCCCTGATTTTCTTGTTCCGTAGTGACGAACCGAGAAGCGCCTAGATGAAAACGCCAAGACCTATCTGCCAATTTACGCGCATTTTGAATAAAAAGGCTGGCTTCTCTGGAGTGGGCGGAGCTTCTCACGGTGGGCGGGGCTCCACGTAGCAGTCCAAAAATGCAAAAGTTTTGGAAAAATATCAAAATTCCGCTAAAAACAAGTGGGCGTGGCCGAGGGGGTGAGGCCGTAGTAGTATCCGGCGTGATTTGGTTGATGAATTGCGCAGCCTAATAAGTGTGGTGAATTTGATTCGGAAGGTGGGTGAATTTGGTTTGAAAAGGGGTGAATTTAAAGTGAAAATGGTATATATTCTTTCTTTCAGACATTAGAGCCATATGGCGCCACTGGGCGCCAACTTGACGCCACAACTTTTACTTGTGAAAATTGATGTAAACGGAAGCACTGCGGATGTTTGACATCTTCATAAGAAACATAACCTTCAATTCCGGCGTCAGCTTACTGCTCTGCTTGCCCGCGCTCCGCCAAAGCTGAGCGTGGGGAAAAAATCCTACCTCCCTGAACTCATCCTCAGCAGAACTATAAATAGGGCCCATATTGAGGGAGTGTCTCGGTGTGGCCGTCTATGGTTTACCATACATGTTCGGAAAAGCAAACATGCAAAAAAGGCTCGAAAAATAACGATCACCCGAAGTGGGTGTGGCCGTGGGGACGGGGCTTGAGATGGCGTCCAGTGTGGTCAAGAATGGTAGAAGTAGCATTTACTGCAAGACTGCTCGATCATTTTGCAAAATTTGATAGAGCGGCAAAAAGTGGTCCACGAGGGACAATATGAGCCACCGGTGGCTCAGGGGCTAGCGGACGCATGCGAAAACACGCCATTGTCCCACGCGGCGCTTTCCCGCAAAACGCGATTGTCGTCGACGTGTTAAGGACCTGCGCGTCCGTGAGGCAGGGGCTAGGACCGGCTCTGCCGATACAACTTGGGCTGTGCCTTTGAGGAATACAATCCGGCCGAAACATGAACTCGTAAATGAAAGTTCTTTATTCGAAGAGATAGCAGCCCAATTTGTCGGTTTACGACTAGTTTTTACTTTTTACTAAATACTAATTAGTAGAACATTAATTGCCGATAAGGGTAGTAATATGAAAAAAGAAAGTAACTGACATCATTTCCAGCGGCCACAATTTCGTCCGATGGATCCGGACATATACGGGCATATGTCGCCGGTACCACGGCTCGGCTCACCACAATCGCTAGCTGATGTGTGATTTCATTATGATATTTCTTTTTATTTTTTTTTCCGTTATTTGTCTTTTCATTTAGTTTCCGTTTTGATTTTTCGAAATTTTCCTTGGTTTATGTCACAATTTCATTGGTGGATGTTCCTGGGATTTCTCGCTTTCTTTCCGAACAATGGTTGTATACCGGCCTGGTCTGTTCGATAGACACCAAAAATCACCCAATTTCAATCCGCCATTTCAATGATACTTGGTCAAGGGGAGGTGGGGATATTCCCTATGTTGGGAATGGTAGGGGGATGGAGGGCCATAGTTTGTCACAGTCTTGTTCGCCGCGGATGTTGGGACGTAACAAGGGGAAGGGCTGAGGTTCACGCGGCAAAAGCCCGTTCGGAAGTGGGGAAACTGATGGAAACGCAACCATTGCGGGTGAAAAAGTGGCTCATGCCGTGCCAACCCCAGCCCTCCGAATGCCTTTGTCGAACTAAGAGCTCGCCTGTCTTTCCGTTTGATCAAAGCGTTTTTTTTTTCTAGAGAATCGAGAGCAAGCACTGAAGCAGGTCGTTCTAGAAGCACTGAGAGGAGGGGGGTGGGTCATGCTGAGCCTTCTTAATCGTCTTGAAGTGGCCTGTTCCGATTTGATATGAATGACGGCTGTTCATCTGATTAGGCCAGTTCACCGATCAATACAGCATCCCAACGAAATGTATTGTGGCTATGATAACTGGAGTAGAGTGCCTGGCTTACCTTAGATGGGTAGACAGATGGCGAGATCTTGCTGGTGACCGTCCGCTGGCAGCGAGAAGGAAACGTCACTGGTGAGAACTGGCTGTCCGCCACGCCAAAACTCAACGCTCATTACATGCCAGTGATCATACGGCGAACAAGGCTGGAGCTACTCGATATTCCCCAGGCCCCAATATCTGATACCGGAGAGTTCTGTCCACATATTGAGCCCCCATTAAAAACAAAAGCATTCATTTCGTCCACTTTTTCCAGAACAATGAAGTCGTTACTAGACTCTGGGTGACATTCTGGGAGGATAATATGATTTTTCTCTAAAGCTGCTGCTCCCCAACAACGCTCAAAAACCGTTTTTCATTAGATCCTCCTCGCAACCGACCTAATGTTATCAATGTACAGTCGTCATCCGAGCACTTGAATAGGCAGCCAGGGTCGCGACGCGGCTGCGGCGCGTCACGATCGCGAGGATCAGCCGTTTCCAGCCCGGTTTAGCCATTTTCCTCCTTAATTTTCACTGTTTTTGGCTGCTTTCCTTGAGGTTAGTTGTTCCTTGCCTTCACAAGGTAAATTATAATAGAGATTTCTCTAATTTTTGCTAACAATCAAGCAATTTAGCAAACAATTGAAAATACTTAAGGAGAATCGCAAAAAGACTTCACCACAAAAAGAAAAAAAATTCACGTACCTATAACATTTCATAAACATGCAGTGAAAATACAGTGAAAATTAGGGAGAAAATGGCTAAACCAGGCTGGAAACAGCTGATCGCCGCGGTCGTGACGAGCCGCAGCCGCGTCGCGACCCTTTGGCCGCCTAATCAACTGCCCGGATGACGACTGTAGCCTACTAAAGGGACATGAAGGATACAGAATCACTGATCAGTTCTGTCTTTTCAGGAATTGAATGAAGCCGAGAAGGAGCTGGTTAGGCAACAGAAATCAGAAGCGGTAAGCTTAACTTTACGCATAGATCACTGATGCTCTGATGGGTACTTTGGGTGGAGACAAAGCAGCGATTCAAGCGCCACTGGTGGAAGGGCGTTTGGCTGGTGTGCATCAGTTCCGACCCTCGGCATCGCGCATAAAGTAACCTAGCTAGTTGCCTTGATGCAGGGTCACTCCGAGACGTTGAATCTACTGGGTCCTGGTGCGAATGCCCACCTGACCCCGGTTGCAATGTCCCTTTCCGTGGCTTGTTGGGACAAATTGTACCCATCCCGCGCTGAGAAGTGTGGTATGACGCCTTTCCACCAGTGACCTTCGAACAGATGCCCCGCCTCCTAACCATTTTCGTTGTACGGAGTTCTTGTTCAGGACCTACGGACACCAGATCGGATATTCAAAGTGGTCTTCGTGGGCGATTCAGCTGTCGGAAAAACCTGCTTTTTACATCGGTACGTTTTTACCTGCTTCTGGCTTTTCATATTGGATTACTATAAGGTCATCCCCACTCAAGTGCGTCGGTTTTTATTCGAATAAAACAAAGAAAAAATAAGAATAGAATAAAGAATAAAGAAGAAGATAAAAAGTAATATTTTGGCTCAAGTAAGTGAGTCCCCCCTTCAAGCGGCAATGACCCCAGTGCCCCGAAAGCCTTTGGACCTCTGGTACCTTCGATTTTTCAACAAGTGCGAGTAAATTGCTGTTGATGCCAATTTCGGCGAATGACAAAACATTGTAGCGCTTTGCCGTCGGAGAGTACTCTCGACTGACGAGAACAATTGGAATCGCTCGGCTTTATGTCGGGCGAATGGGGCGATTGAACCCAGGTCTCAGTATTGTTTGTGTCCCAGCACTGCCCTACAATACAGTTACTAGGGGTCTGGCACTATGACGAGCAACGGTGGCCTTCTTGTAGTTGTGTGGTAGCATCCATTTGTCGATCTGATTGTCGGGAACGCCAGGCAATAAACACCGACAGCGACGATTTAATTCTCTGTATAGAGTCCCCTGAAAGCCTTTGATAGGACCGGGATGCGTTTTCACAGTCGTGAATGAGATCTCATGCTGAGAACATTACTGCTAGATGCACAGAATAGGTACTGTATTCGTGCTTCCGCAAGAAAATTAGGTACAACATGCGCACACCCATCTTGATCATCTCATCGGACACAATCATCGGGAAGCAGTGCAGGCAAGGGATGTCAGTCTCGCGGGAGCCCGCCACAAGGTCCAGGCTCTGTGATCAGACATTCAGCGCTTGACTTCATCCACCCTTTTTTCTTGTGCAGGATGAACATTATGGGACCATCCACGACAACAAATTTTTTTCCTTTCCTCCCTTCTTCGAGCTCTTGATAAATATCCTTCCACCTTGTATTTTGAGAACGCCATTACACACAACTGCTGGTCTGGCGCCGGTCGAATTTGAGCAGCGCACTTCCCTCTTATGACGTCTGATTTGAATCGGGCCTGGACTTTCAGTTCTCACTTGTAAATCGGGCTCGCGATCTTTCATCACTCGGCGCTTCTCCTTTGCTACTTTTCGATGAGCTCTCTGTGGGTAGGTTCGCCAAATTTCACAGATACACAGCTGAAGGTACTAGCTCTCCAAATGGTATAGTAGCCCGCTGCCCTATCCCCTTTGCTTTTCTGCCATTCCTCTATATGTCACGGCACTTTTGAATGGGATGACCTAAAAGATGAATCCACATCCACATCAGTTTTTGAATAAAAGCTCTCCTGTTCGAAAACAATAGTGACCATGGGATTGCCGAAGCCGGAAAAGAAAGTTCTGCTGAGGCCACAAATCTCCGGCGATACGGTAGCTCGGGAGACCGGAGTCTGTCATGTGTGGTCCCTTCCTGTGCCGCTTTTTCTCCCACACTGGTCTGCGAGAAAAATGGGGTCCATATCAATGGAGGAGGGCCATATGGCACGTCTGATTCGCTCATTACGATAATCGCCTCGCCGTAAGGGTTGGGCTTAAGTAATTTGCCCTATACCTTCACAATTTTTCTCACAAACAAAAGTAGACAGGGCTCATGCTCACCGACCTACAAAAGCCGTGCTCCACCGCTAATCGCTGGACAGTTGCAAAGTCCGGTATGAATTTTACCTTCCTTCCGCAAGTGAATGGCCCGAGTCGCGAAGCATAAACACAGTTTAGGAAGTAGCCCATGGGTTCTGCAGATTTTACTGGTCTGGGAAGAGCTATGAAGTGCAAAAATCCTGCAATTAATCCTCACATGATCTTGTTTTAGGTTTTGTTATAATCGCTTTAAACCGTTATTCAATGCCACCATTGGAGTGGATTTCACGGTGAAAACAATGAACGTTGGTGATCGAATAATCGCTCTTCAGCTGTGGGATACTGCTGGGCAAGAGCGGTAGGTTTGTCATAACTCCCTTATTGTCACTTAGGTAAAGCATCCGCTGAGGAATCCCTAGGAAGAAATTGTATCTGGCACCAGTCACGAAGAGAGGGTTGTATTTCGGCAGAAGCTCGTGGTCAACAGAGAACTGCGTCAAGGTGTGTGGGGTGCGGAATAAGTGTGAAGGCGGAAGTCGGCAGAGAAGCCCGCAAAAACCTATCTATATTACGAGAGTGGCTTTCACATCAGAGGTCACATAGCTGTTGGGGAATCTTACCGGGAAGGGGGGGGGGGTGGTCGTAAAATGACGCCAGGAGAGGGAGCTGGGTTGTATTGTATTCTCGGCGCTATTCCTGCAGTGGCCATTTACTCGGCTCCTTTCCCCCTCCGCTCGATGGCTCGATTCCGATGAGCAAGGAGACAGAGGGCCGGAGGGGGGGGGGCACCAACCTCCAGAGAAAGGAGTGGTTAGGTCGCACGGACTCGACTCAATAATCCCCATATCATCTGATTGTATCCCCCTGTTTCACACTCGCTAGACGTAGGTGCATGAGAACCCAAATAGCTAGTTGTCGTGGAAGCGACAGGCCCTTGATATGTTGCTGAGACTCATAAAGCTGTTTCATGGAACGACATGCCCTTGAGTGTTACTGCGTGGAATGGAGGGAAGTGGTGGCGCACTCCCTGGCTGGCACGCTTGAACCCACTTTGGTCCACATTTCGTCCACCATCGAGCTCGAACCTCTTCCCGAAATCGTAAGACCTTAGGAGTGAAAGTGTCGGAGGGTAGGTTGCAATGACAACAAAATGCACTCCATATCCCTGAGATGGGAGGGGCGTGGCTGCGGATTTCATTTGAACATGACGTCAGAAGCGCGTTTTTGAAATATTTGCATCTGTGGCAACTGCGACATCTTGCTTTGTGATGAATAAAGGCGTGATTACGTTTGTCAATACATACCATTAAGCCGCCGCCGTGTTCAAATGAAGTGCGTAGCCGCGCCCTCCCCAGCTTCGAGATATGGAGTGTATGACAACTCAGAAGTGCAGTTTATTTGCCAGAATGCCAAGGAGTGGGCAAAACATTGTACAGCATCTGCTCCACATATCATAATCGTTTACTTATCTAAAAAGTGACTAATGTCATTTTCCATTTCATTAAGATTTCGATCGATAACGAAGCAGTATTTCCGAAAAGCCGATGGTGTGCTGTTGCTGTTTGATGTGACATCGGAACAGAGTTTTTTGAACGTTCGAAATTGGATCGAATCGGTCCGAAACGGTGTCGAAGAGTCAACAGTGTTAGCTTTAGTTGGAAACAAAGTGAGATAGACCACGAATTCTGATTATGACTGTCAGATGTTTTTTTTTCTATTCTGATTTCAGGTCGACTTGTTTGGCAGTGACATATCACGGAATGCTGTGTACAAAGCCGGCAAGAGACTTGCCGATGTAAGTCTCTCTTGCTTCACGCCCTCAGGTTCAGATGAAAAAATGTTTGTTATTGTGAAAATTAGTAGACCTTTGGCGCTTCGGTCATCTCGGAAAGACTCGAGGCACTGTTGTACTTAAGGGCTGACTAACCTTGGCGAAAATGGAGGGTGAAATGGGGAGACGGGCAAGAGAATCGTAATTCGCCGCTTCGTCGCGCGCGGCAGTGGGCGCGACGTTTCCTTGATTTGCACTACCCTTTCGATTGGAGCATCGGATTTCATGTAGACAAGGATATGGTGGACACACGTTTATTTTTGGTCCCCCTTTGCGCGGCGAATTACGATTCCCTTGCCACATACTCCTGAAAAAGGCTGAGCCTGTGCTGGAACGACAAAACATTCAGTTCCACAACGCTGTGTCTTCTGCCAAGAACTACACTCCTTGGTGAGAAAAATGCTAGTTCATGATCCCCTCCCCCCCCCCCTCTTTGTTTGTTATGACGATATCAGCTCCAGAAAGCCGAGGAAATCAAACCCCGAAATTTAAAAAAAGTCTATTTCCACTCTATTAAACCTTTACCCTATTTATAGGAATTTCCAGCACCGTACTGCTTCCATGTTTCAGGAATTTGAGATGCCTTTCTACGAGACTAGTGCCTATACTGGATACGGAATCGATTATTGTATGAAATCAATAGCTGAGTTAGTTACCTATTCTCTACTCGAAAAAATGGTTAAAAAAAACTTTTACTCCTGTTTGCACTCAAACTCTTCATAAAGTTTATCACGTCTGCACGTCGTAGGTTGGAGATCCTGGAGATCCCCAGCTAGGAAGAGGTCGTATTTGATTGCTGTAGGGAGGGGTCATATCTGGCTCCGAGAAATGTTTTGTCGTTGCTGACTTTCTCGGTTTTTCATGTTTCATGTGCGCTATATCTAGAACACCTCGTACGTCGGGGAATCCCCAGCGGGAGTCGTATTCGGTTGGCGCGTCTGAAGCGAAAATTTTTTATAGTTCGTCTTTTCTTAGTTTCATGCAGCGTATTAAGGGAGTGTGGGTATCTTCCTCGACTGCTAGATGGGGGGGCGGCGCGGTTAATTTGCCTCTGACAGGGAGGTCTTTCAGGTCGTGGCGCGCTTTTTGAAATGGTTTGTTGCTTGTTGTAGGGGTCCATACAAGGATCACAAAAATGGGTTTCATTTTTGCTATGGTTTCTGTGCGCTTGGCCGTCAAAAACTGAGTGAAAGAATTTGACAAGAATGGGCGGTTTTAACAACCTTAATGGGCTCCTTCTGCTTGTAACTTCGAGCATGCATAGTTTATGAGGTGGTCACTATTAGGCCTTGAAATAGATAATCGATTGAGTCAAAATGGTTAATTATCATGGTTGGTAACACACTTGGGCCATTTTTTTGTCAAGCGCTCCCTTCATGCACCATTTGCTGGTGGCTGGATCGTTGGGCAGTGAGCGTAACACGACGCGTCTGGATGGCTACCGGCAAGGCGCGGACTTCGTGGGATCGGAATCCCTTCTTCGCGAAAGTTTTTTGCATTGTTCCAGCTTTCCATTCATTCGCGTGCCTGTTTGTCTGGCAGTGCCGAAATAAGTCCAAGAAGTGTCGCTTGCGCTGCCCCCGTTAGCTCATGTCAGGAAGCGTTATCTGCAATGAAACACCAATCGCATTATGGTTCAGCGGGTTGGGTTACCCCTGCGGACTAAATTTCTAGCCAAGTCTGACGTTTCGACCTAACTTGGAAAATGTGGGCCATTCTATGGACAATTAGCAGCAGGCTGGGGTCCACCCACCATGGATGACTGGTCTTGGGATGGAATTTTCTACCGGCGGAAAATGATGGCAGGCGGCACGATCAGTGAGCCAGCTATTTCCTTTGCGAAAAGACATGACCGAAGGGTTATTTTAAGGTCCAGTCATCACCAGTCTAGTCGGAGTATTGGCTATCATCCAGGCGTGACCATCTCTACCCCTTTTTTTCAAAGTTGAGTCAGAACCTCGGATTTCCTCAAGGTGGCGTTTCTAGGGGTTGTTCGACCCCTGAACACGAATATGATATCTATTTCGCACGGAGAGAGCTGTGAGTCGCGCTACAGGTGCAAATTCACTGCGCCAGCCCACCCGCAAGAAGAAAAACAGTGAAGGAAAACCTCCATAACTCGCTCGCGCAGAAGAAGTCGTTCCGCCCAAAATTTTTAAGGTAGTTTCGAGTTCACGTGTGAGTACATGATATGCCACTCAACTGAAACTGCCAGGTTGTTTTGTTGCGTCCTGCCTGGATGACACCTTACAAACCAGCCCCACAGTTGTGGGGCATTAAACCTTGTTTCCGGAATATGTTCCACGCTCTCGTTGATACAGATGCAAAACTCGTGCGTAGCGAGTCCGAACCAAGTTCCCGCAGTGTCGTGCCATCCATCGTGCTATCCGCTACGCCATCTGATCCGCAAGCAATGGTCATGAAGGGAGCGCTGACAAAAACATCACTCTTGCGTCGGTGCATGCCAAGTGTGTTACCACATGATACTTACATTTTGACTTTAATCGAATCTATTTTGAGGCCTATTAGTGACCACCTCACCACCTCATAAACTATGCATGCTCGAAGTTACAAGCAGAACGGAGCCCATTAACATTGTTAAAACCGCCCATTCCTGTCAAATTCTTTTCACTCAGTTTTTGACCTACCCAGAAACGCATAGCAAAAATGAAACCCATTTTTGTGATCCTTGTATGGACCCCTACAACAAGCAACAAACCATTTCCAAAAAGCGCGCCACGACCTGAAAGACCTCCCTTTTAGAGAAACTAGATGAGGAAAAATTTTTCCCGCGGTTGCTCGCGCTTTTCGCTGTTTCAGCCGCTTCAACTGTGCTATGTATCTCCCCTCCCCCGTCCACCCCGCAACCTTGGGGAAAAGCTGGAACATTTTCGAAAAAATCCAGAAAGAAGTGGTGGGAGCCAGGGAAAATCTAGGAAATGCTAGGGAAAGGGGAGTTCGTGTTTTACGAAAATTTTCTCCCATAGCAGGACGTGCCCTGACTGAACCTAACGTACATCTCCCTCACGCATGACTTCAGCAGTTTTTAGGGGAAAATGGGGTAATTTCCGCAACATTTCGGGTTGTATTTTGCAAAAATTTGCTCACAACGGTAGGGCGTGTCCTGCGTGGAATGACCTCCATGAAGAAGGAACGGCGCAAGGGGAAAAAAGATAATTTCGTTATTTTTTAATCACAAATTCACTGTTGTGTCCAATAATCAACTTATCAGAAGAGAAAGAAGAGCTTTCACAGAATCAGATGAAAAAGTGTGTGTGAAAAAAAACTGCTTGTGGTCTGATGAAAACATTTTATATGTGTTAATGACACTGTTGCCTTTATTACATTTGTGTTCCAACAGATATTACGTCACTTCAAAGGAAAACTAGAGGAACTGTATTCTGTATTTTGCCAAGAGGTCTTAATACTTGAATCTTATATAACGCCTGGTGTTCTAATAGATGGTCTTTCAAAGCCTGAAAGCATTTCAAAACCTTCAAAATCTCACTAGCCTTACGGAAAGGCAGACTTTGCGATGAAAAGTTCGTAGGTAGCGGGGTCAGAAACAGAAGTGTATGTGCTAGCTGACTTGCCTGAGGAAAAAGGAGAGGAAACCTTGAAAACACTCCGAATAGGGCCCTATTTGTGAGAAGGGAGCGACGAAGTATCGAAGTGGATATCCAGTGAGAGACCAGAGAAAGCAGCGAGAGAGCACGCAAAAGCGCCAGACAGCACAAGGCTTCTCAAGTGACTCCGCCCTCGTTGACATCTGTCAACGAAGGCGGAGTCACCTGAGCAGCCTTGTGCTCTACGCACTCAGACACATACGGACTTGTTGCAGTCCAGCTACCTATTTGTAAATTTAGAAAGTTATAACTGATAGTGGGCCATGCCTTTGAGGCTGTGTTCATACTTTGCCAAAGCGTCTACCAGCGACCACCAGCGTTCACCAGCGCTTCGAGCGTCCGTCAGCGTTAGCGACTAGGAAAGCATGGATATCGATGTAGCGTCTACCAGCGTCTACCGGCGTCCACCCCTGATCCAGCTATCTCCACCCTTTTTCTTCCCCATACTCTACCACCAGTATGCTGCCCTCCTACTTCCCCTCACTCCCTTCTACTGTTCTCTGGTGGCGCTGCGGTAAAGTATGAACGCAGCTCAACGCACGATTGCTCTCAGCCTCTTGCAACTGAGGAAAAAAAACAAGGAAAAATGAACTTTGCTTTTGTATTCTCTGTCCATCCTAAGATATGCAAAAATTGCTTTGAAAAAACGCTTTATAATGTGGAAAACCCTTCTGGTAGAGTGATTGGGTCACACGGTTCATGTATGTTGGCGAAATGCGCTCCTTTTGAGGGGAAGGCATTTAACGGAAAGGTTCTTCCTGAACCCCTCTGCGATACCGCACTCTGATAGGGAATGTTGATGATCTGGCATGTTCGCTCGAAAAAAAGTATTCTCTTAACCTACTGATCTGCCTCGCTCTTTTCCTTTCTTCACTTCGTGGCCCATTGCTCAATCTCTAGAAGAGACCGAAGCAATTCCCCTTCCATTTTCTGATAATCTCTGAAAATTTTGCTCTGTTTTTGGTTCTGAAACTTTTTTTCAGGCGTTTACAAAAACGCGAAGAGCAACATTTACAAGACGCGTTGATGCTGGAGATGGAGCCAACCCATAAGAAGCGAAGTTGGTGTTGCCTTTGAGGGAGCATGACATCGTGATCAAAGCCGTCTTACTCACTTCTGATTACTGTGTAAATTTTTGCGATCCTTCATCATTCATATCGCATTTGAAAGAGAGTTGTCTATATTGTTTACATAAACAAGTGAAAAATCTTGTAATTAGAGAATGTTTGAATTTGTTGAATTTTAAACGCACGAATGAGTCAATCCAGAGAATTTGTTACTGTAAGTAACCAATTAGCGTTTTTCGCGTGGGTGAAGGTTTCCGCAGAATTTTCATGGAGGTTCACTGGTCCCAGCTAAATGGATTTTCACAACAAAGGTCCATTGGACACGAACCCTAATGTCGCGTTACTAGACGAGAGGGTAAGTGCCGAGTATCATTAGGTCCGATGTAAAGTTAAAGGGAAAGATGTGTTTGGAGGCAATCCACTTGCACTGAGATCATGAAACATCATGAGTGTTCGCCAATCCCCTGCTAGTAGGAGCCACTCCATCCCCATTGACCAGATACGATCCCTCGATTCGGGTTGCACTAGGATGACGCTGACTGGGAGCCACTCTCATCGATTTGTGCCTGTCATCAGTAGGACGTGCCACATCTGGGCGACTGAAAACTGGATCTCATGCCCGCTTCACGCAGGTGATTCAGTCATCTTGCAGTTGTCGGTGAGTTAGCCTTCTTAAATCCTTTTCTCCAGCTAACCTGGGTGGCAAGCTTCGCTACTTATGTGATGACCCAGGGCGGAAATGTGGCCCAATTCCTTCAACGTGGGGTCGTTTAAATGGCACGTGACGACTTTTCTGATAGTGAGATGATAAAAACACTGGATTGTGCAGGTGGCACCGGAAGGCACCCATGAGCACGGCGCTTTTCCATGAATTCTTGCATTTGAAAGGACACTACGATTCCAAGTGAGATCGCCATGAGTTTTATAGTTGCCTCACCCTAACGGGGCATTGGTCAGCGCTGCAAGTCCTCTCTGTTTTCCTCTATCCTGTCCCCGAAACAGCCTTGCACATGCGTTAAAACTACAGCCACGGCAGGTAACATAGTGGCTTGAAGGATTGTCCAACTCATCTACGGGGTTTCGAATCTAGTTAGGATAAACCCAACGGCTTGGTAGCGTCACGATTTTCGATCTGATCACTCTTATCAGCCATTTGTGGTTTGCGATCGAATGTGGGGCTTTCGTAGAGCACTGGTCAAGTGGTTTTGCCCTTGTTCTTAAGAGCAGTGGGCACGATAAAGCTACTGGGGTTGTGGGGTAAAGGTGCCTATTAGAGAAGGATACTGTGCCCTGACGCTACGTGGCGCCATTCCAAGCGCCTTCTGGCGGCGTTTTCGCAAGGTTTGACATACCGTGTGCCACTACCGCCAGAACCCCCAGCTCACAAAAGACCGCACCAGTCAGCAATTGATAACGATCCGAGTGCTTGAATGTTTATGAGGCAGCACAGGAACTGCAACTTACTCGTCATTCAGTTTAGAAAGGATATAGGAAAACTCTATGGATGAATATGCTTGAACGCAGGAAACATTATCCGTACAAGCTTAAGTTACAGGAAGGAAACCATCCAGAAGATATGTCGCCGGCCAGCAAAAACTCATGGAGTGATTCACGCTCGCATGCGCCTGAACTCTACACGATTTGTTTCGGAAGTAATAACCGTAACTGTTTTGGTTGTGTTGAAAAAAAAAAAAAAAATGT